AAATATTATTAACAAGTATTTATTTAATAATAACATTTAATTTATATAAGATAGTGATTGATTTAACTTCGTGATGTTGGTTGGTGAATTTACTTGCCTATAGATTATATCTTATTTAATTCATTTTATCAAATATTTATTTTTTAAATTTAATTTTTACAGTGATTCTATCAAAAATTTTATACTACCTTTTATTTAGATTTTCTCAAACAGGTTTTTATGATCTTTTTATATATATAAATTTTTATATATAATCAAGAAACTTATCATAGGTTTGTACCAACTGGTACTGGTTTGTATTTCTCTGTATAATACAGATATCTTGGTATAACACAAATACCCCTAACCTTCCAATCAAGTTGGTGTAACTGCATTACAAATATCTAATTCTATATAACAAAAACAATTACTAAAAGGTAAGATTCAAACTCTAAACCTGCTATTTGAAAAGTACAACTTAACCACTACTTTAAGTTACCATACCCTTCCTATTAATATTTTTTTTTATTTTTAAAAACAATATTTAATTTTTTTTTTTTAATATAATAAAAATTCAAGACAACAATATAAGAAAAAAATTTTTAAAATTATTGTTAAAAAGTAAATTTTCTATATATTTAATATAAGCTTTATAAAATTTGTGCACTTGTTTGGATTTCTTTTAATCCTTTTTTCTTTTGCACCAAGCTTTCTTTAACAATATTCTTCTTCTTTCACCACACTAACATAACAATATTACTAAAATTATTTTACTTAAATTACTAAGATCACTTTACTCAAAAGTTAGGTGAGGTTTGATGTCTAAAGCTTTCTATTTATTTATTTTCACGTGCATTTACATTATTGATTATATACAATAAACTCTAAAGTTACATATTGTTCTGCAACAATAGACTTCACCTTATCGCTAATTGACGTGATATGATTGGTAGCACAGGATTTCGCGGTCGCATGAGGGGTAGATCAATAACGATAATAGTCTATTAAAGTTTGTTAGTAATGTAATTTAAAAGTTAAATAGTAGTATATTAGTAAAATCGATAATATATGCGCACATAATAATTGAATTAATAATAGGTTCGATATTTGAGATCGAACCCATACCTTAATTTTCGTTGAATAAGCCTAGTACCTTGAATATAACGCAGTGGTGCGAAGGTGGCGAAGTCGTCAGGAGGAGATAGATCGAAAAGAAAAGTAAAATACACATATAACAAACGAATCATTTGAACTAGACGCTTAGTGTACTAACGCTAATTAACCCCACGATACTAATTATTATATAGACCCTTCCACATAGATATTACCTACCGGTTCTAATCGGGTAGTACCGGTTCGGGTCCATTTCAAGACCCGAAATGGTCGGTTCTAGAAAAAACTATAGATCCGATTTGAACCGTCGGTTCGATTCCGGGTTTTGGCTCTGGTTTGAGGCATGGGATTCACTATTCAGTGGGTCTTGTATACGGAAGTTTACATACGATTGTGCGAATTTTTTCGCTCAATCGTATTAATTGAAAGTTATTCGATCTAAGTAAAACTTTGAAGATGTGTATTTTGATCTTCCGAACAACTAAATACACAACTATGATTTGTATAGTAAAATTTTGACTTTATTATGTAGTAATTGTTGGAGATCTCAAAATAGAACAGATATAGTCTAAGTGTTGCGCACTGTAGAACTAAAAATAACTTCATAATCAAAATTTAATATAGTTATTCACAGTATACAAATGTAATTTAAAAATTGATTATATTATTAACAATTATGTAATACATTTGCTATACTTTTTGCATTAACAAATTATATATTAACTATTAGTCAAAAAAGAAAAAGGTATTAAATAAAAACGGGTACTTATTTCAATAAATATATCAGTTACTTCAAATCATCCATGATTCTATATTGCAACTATCAACAAAAACCACCGAGTTCCAAATGTCCTTTGATCGCACCACCAACGTTAGTCAAATCTATCAAAAATGTATCATGTCCATACATAGAATCCAGCTCATAATAAGTGACATCTTTATTTCCACCTCTTCTTAAACAATCAGCAATTTCTCTTTGCTGCCAATGAGCAAACAGGATATCAGATTGAACACCTAAAACTAATGTTGGTATTTGAATTTTAGAAAGTCCTTGAACAAGATCATCGAGATTATCACTATTTGTTAATGACAAAGAAGAAATGTGTTTTTTTTTTGAAGATGAGGTTGACGATGATGCAGGTTGTGGAACAGGTATTTCTTGTGAAGTATTTGCATTAGCGTAGCATGATGATTCAGGAATAAATCCGTGAGTTTGTATTTTCTCTATATTAATCTCTCGTTGTCTATTGAGAGCTTCCAATGATGAAGAGGACATATCAAAAAGGTCCATTGCTTTGGATATATAAAGAAGTGAATTTGGATCGTATTGCAGGCAGAAGCGCTCACCCTGTATAGTGGTAATAAATAATCCTTAAAAATCAAACTTTTTTTTTTAAAAAAAAAAATATAATAATAAAAATACCTGATAATCAAGGTAAGTTTCTATCAAAAAATCAGGACAAAGAGCAGGCGGTTGATCTTCCCGCTCACGTTTTCTACCAAACCGCTGTTCCCATTCAGGTCCTGATCGGTAGCTATAATGTGATATTAGTAATAAATCAAATATTAAAACCAAATTTAAGTATATGCGACAAGTTTATAATACCTAATCGTGGCAATTTCACGAGCCAACTGAAATTTCAACAAATAAAAAAAATTTAGAAAAGGAACGCTCATAAAATAATGCAAAAAAAAAAAAAAAAAAATTACCTTCATTCCTATATGTGGCGGTATAGATTTATAATAAAATCCTTTGTTCCAATTAGGATCTGACATCAATACTGATTGTATAATATAAAAAATAAATATTTAAGCATATAAAATGAAGTTGATTTATATGATTCATATCAAAGTGCTGTATACCTTGTCGTTGTGTATGTCTAATTGCAATAGAATATGGATGTGATCTCGCACATCCAGATATGCTAACTATGCGAGACATACGTTCGGGATACAACCATGCGGATGCCAATGACTAATAAAAAAAAAAAAAAAAATGGAATTTATTACACTGGTAATATTAATTTATAATGATATTCGTATATAAAAAACAAATACCATCATTCCACCCATGCTGCTTCCTACAGTAGCATGCAGTTTATTTATTCCTAAATGATCTAATAGTAAAAACTGTGCCCTAACCATATCAAATATTGTTATAATAGGAAATCTAGTTGCATATCGTTCGCCATCTGATGGATCAATTGAGGAAGGACCAGTTGATCCATAACAACCTCCAATCACATTGGTACAAATAACAAAAAATTTGTTCGTGTCAATAGAGAGACCAGGACCTAAAAATAAGAGGATCAATTTGTCAAAAAAACGAACAAGATATATGATGGATATGATGAATGATGATAAGTACAAGAAATCAATATTCACCAATGAATCGTTCCCACCATCCTGGATTAACATTTTTTTCATGACTTTTAGCGTGACTACTTCCAGATAAGCCAGTTTGAATTAAAATCGCGTTATCCTTATTTTCATTCAATTCACCCCAGGTTTCGTATGCTACATCAAATTTTGGCAAAACGCCACCATGATCACATAGAAATGGATTTTCGTGATGATAAATTGAATATCCAGTTACAATTTTTTCGTAAGCCGGTTCTGGACCGCCGTCCAACGACCTAGTACGTACATCATATTGATCGATACATGGAAAACTTAACGGAGGATTCGAACTTTTTGTTTTTGTTTGTATAGGATTTACGTCAGGCTGCAATTTTGACTCCAGTGACGGAGGAAATTCGAATTTGAGAGGTACTGCTGTGGCATTGTGATTTTTTTTCGACGTATGAAATGCTACAAAATAAAAGTAATCCGAGTTAGGAATATAACTATAAAATTTTGTAGTTAGAACATACCGGACACTCGTGCTAACTGAGAGATTCGCGAGGACCAAACCTTGTGAAATGCCGTCGCTTGTCGATAACTTGTATAACGAAGTAAAGTAGCCATTTAGATGTATATAATTTGGATTCAAAAAAGAATTAAAATTTCCTGAAATTTATATAATCAACAAGACGATCTGTAGTTTAAATATTTCGACAATTTACTTGATTAGTAATCTTCGTTAACGGGATCTTCGATTAATTTCATATAGCGATTATCTGTACTCTGCTAATCCATTGTCCAATCGTCCAATCATGATTTGAGTGACGCAAAGAGAAAAACCGATTCTTAATCATATGAGTAAACTATCGCTATGATCGGTTACAGGTTTTTACTCTCACGCACTCATATACTCTCACGCACTCATATGATAGCGATAGTATATGAGTATATGAATGAAAATCAAGAATTATGCAGCGCATTACATATCGATTTAGGAGTCTTTTAAAGTTTATTACTAACGATAATTCGTATCAATATTAATAATCAGGTATAAAAACTATTTTTTATAGATTATTTTTATACTAAATATTGCATAAAAAGAATTGACATACAAAGTACGAGAAAAAATAATTGGGCGTCTCTCTTTTGGGATTAAAGAAAAATTTTTGCTATGGTGCTGGAAGTCTATACTCAACAGTTACACGAAGTATTTCAATTTTTTAAATAGCTATAACTTTTTATCTAAGAGGTTTAGAAAAAATCTGACTGGTAACTTTATAGAGCTATATCAGCTCTACATATCTGCCAAATTTTATTTCAAAATCTCATCACTGTAAAGAGTTGAAGCTTTTTAAAAATTGAAATTTTATATATAAATTTATAAATTTATATATAAAATTTCAATTTTCAAAAAGCTTCAACTCTTTACAGTGATGAGATTTTGAAATGAAATTTGGCAGATATGTAGAGCTAATATAGCTCTATAAAGTTACCAGTCAGATTTTTTCTAAACCTCTTAGATAAAAAGTTATAGCCATTTAAAAAAATTGAAACACTTCGTGTAACTGTTGAGTATAGATTTCCAGCACCATACAACAAAAATTGCTTTTTTAACAGTATATGACATTAAACAAAACTGGTTCTATATGTTCTGGTCAAAATCTATTTAATTCGCAGTAATCTAATCGCGTAAAATATATTAAATGTTGCGTCATTATGCAAATTATTATTTAAGGAAATACAATAACGATAACAATACATATTTCAGAACAAGGCTTAAACTTATTATACGTACGTACGTGAATTGAGTGACTTGTATTTGTTTGTGAAACCTAAATTTTACCCCTGAATAATTAAAACAATATTCAAATTAAAATATCTCGTTAAATTATTATATCAACGTATGGTAAAAAGCGAAACATTAATTTGAATCAAAAATCTCGAAAATGATAAAAAAAAGTGTCAGAGACGGGTTTTCCTAGTCCATACCCCAAATAAGTATTCCCCCTGAACCCTACCCCAGTCAGCCGAAGAAGAAAAAGGCGAAAATCCTCAAAAACTAGTTCCTAATTCACGCACTTAGTTTATTTACAAAATCGCGAAAATAAGATTTTGTCCTGATCAGGAAATCAAACTTCACTCAGCATACCGTATTTTACGACGCCCCTAGCTCTCCCACAAAAATTGTTCACCCCCTGTAATTTTGACCAATCGAAATTCAGGAGCAGGTGTAACGTAAAAATCGAAACCATTTTACTCTAAATTTTAATTAGGAAACCACCCCCTAATTTGGGACGGTCTCTCCTGAAACAAATAGTGTCCAATTAAAACGAACTTCCATCATACTGCCCCAGCACCCCCCTTAAGCAAAAAACGTTTTACTTTACAATATAACCTTTGCGTGATGCAGTATATTTTGTCTTCTAAGCAAAGTTTTTCGGGAGTTTGATTCTT